GCGCAACGTAACCAACTGAACTGGGAGCTATGCAAGGTTTTATAAAATTATCAATTTTCAACTGAATTGATAATTATTCAACAATTAATACTCATTGTAGTTTCGTAATGATCGATTAAAGAAACTATGATATTTTATTCATATAATTTACATATTTAATAAGTATTTTTACATTAAATTATATCTTACGTAAGATTATTTTAATAAACTCGGTATATCAAAAAGTACTAAAGTTTGCATTTCTGTCCTGAAAATCTGGAATACGATATGATACGTTTCATAAGGACAACATCCGATTCCAATCCTTCCTGGTTCAGTACGCTGAGATATTATATGAAGGCGTGACAAATTTAACTTCGACACTTGCCACAGGTCTGGGGTCTTATCGAAGTGTAGGAAAAAAAACAAATAGGATCAGTGAAAGACGGATAACGAGGGTGATAAAACGAGTGTTGTAAGAGAAAGGGGCAGTGATGTTAGAAGCAGGGAGGGGGAAGGGAAGCTCCGATTGGAGCTCAGCTTTTCGTGCTAGAGAAAAACGGAACGAGGGAGAAAAGGCAACCCTTCGAACAAACGATGCTGTAATATCTCACGGATATTCTCGATCGGGCTCTAGCTGAAGGACGGGCGAGAATGGAGAGGAAAAGGGAGGGAAAGAATCGTATTCAAACTTTCCGATTATCTTTCCGAAGTGTCTGCGAGGGTGCGACTATTTCATCCCACAACCACCACTACCACTAGTACCAACCCTTCTCTAACTTTTTTTCTCTGATATCTATGATTTCTTCGATTCTCGAAGTACGACTACAAATAGAGTGGCTATATATTTTAAGAAAAATTTTATAGAGATAATCGCGTATTTTTTCCACATTTATTCTTTCCATTGTGACGTCCCAACTGGAGGAAGGGTGGGTTAACGGGACAACAGGTAATGATTACCCCTCTGGAGTACTAATTTTTAATTCTACTCATATAAATATTACTTTTATACAAATTGAAATGGTTAAAAGCCCTGTCATATTTTATTTCTTTTTATTGTATATATAATTTGAAAGAAAAATCTATTTTTCTAAAACTGAAAGAAAATTCTTTCCTTAATATAAACGTATGCGATGGACGTTTATTTTAAAATAGTCATGGAAAACGTTCTAACCTAGTTTTCGTTCGTGTCTCGTCCAATTTCCAAGTGAACGCGCATGACAAATAAAAAATAAACCACGATAAAGATGCTTTCGTCATTCAACGAAAACCCGAGACGCGTTTGAATGCCAGTCACTCTCCTCTCTTTTCCACACTTTGACAAATAGTCCAAACCTCAACCGCGAAGCTACCGTGCGTGAAATGGAATCTCCCGCGATTTTATTCTATCACTGAGATTTATTCGTTTTTTCTAACAAATAGAAAAATTACCTCATCATGAATGGTTTGAAAAATTACAACATTACTTTCAAACGATCCATTACACTTTTGTCTATATACTTTAATCATATATATATATATAAATTATATAATAAATGAATTTAAAAAAATACACTTTCTTTTTGTATATATTTGCTTCGTCTTCATAATTATTGTACTAACGTAAAAAGACAGAGAGAAAGAGAGAGGAAGAATTATATTTGACTATATCGTATATTCGTTATTGAAATAAACCAAGAGAAAAAAAATTACAACTGTCGATACGGATTTGATCGATTCCCTTTGGAAAACATCGATTTCGTTTTCGACTAAACCCTTTCTTCCTTTCCGATCAGAACTTTATCCGATTTCTATCCGTGTACTCGAATGCGCTTGCAATCATTTATTTCAGAACTTTGTGTATATCCAAACAATGAAATTTTATATTATTTTACATAATTCGTTTTATATCGACACAGTTTTCTAAAAAAAGAAAAGTGAAATGCCGGACTTGCTTATCTATTTCAGAATCGAATTTCCTCAGGTTCTTTCGTACTCGTACGACAGGATTGATTGCAAGAGTTCGCGAGACTTTAAGTCGGCAAAATTAAAGCAGATACGATCGTCCTTTCCTCCTTTATTCTTTTTCTTCTTCTTTTTCTTCTTCTTCCTTTTATTTTCTTTCGTCTAATTTCTTTTCCTCCAATTGGATCTCTTCTCTATCTTATAAACGACACAAAGAAAACAAAAGGAGTATGAATTTTTAGTTGGATTAGACGGTAATAAGGAGAGATGGTCCTTTTACTAAAAATACATCCATTTTATTTGATTCGCTCGTAAATATTCTACGTTAATTGACAGGGCCATTGATCGAAGGGATAGGTACTTCATTTATAATACAATACCACGTAAAAGCTAACTAAAATCGATCAAATCATTTCATAATGCGAAGAAAAACATCGGTTATATCTTCTGATTAGACTTCAAATCTTTTATTTTATATTCGTTATAATATACATATATAAAATCATGCTAGAGATTTTTGTTTCCCATTAAATCCGAATTTCTTGTCGAATGAGAAAAGAACTAAAATGAAAAAGAATAAAAGAGAGAGAGAAAGAGACGGGGAAAAAAGGAAGAAAAGACTTGTCGACATAACGGGCAACGAATTAATATAGTTTTTGAGGGCGAGAATAATTCCCAGCAATTTACTTCTGGCACTCGTCCGATTTTACGGTCCGTCGTCGTACACCGCTCCTGGCCATAGTAATTTTCATCCACGGGAATTTAGAGGTTGGATATATACATATATATATATATATATGTAGGTAGATACCGATATATAAACATACATACATACAAATATATAGTACATAGAAGGGCTAGTTACGTAGAATAGATACGTAGAGAGACACACATGGGCATAGAACATAGAACATAGAAATAGGTGAATGTTATATGGGCACGGCCGAAGGTGCCGCTCGACATAAACGAAGCGACACTATCCCATGCAGTGTATGGTATGCACTGGGAATATGGACCGTGCGTTTTGTCCGCCTCGTAATTTTTCGGTTTCATTTGGCTGCCCTCCAAATAGTTGCATATTGTGTCAGCTTCTCCTCAGACACGCAGGAAATTGCTTGGCCAGATACAGCCACAGGAAAACGACATTTTCCACCGGCCAGGCAACACACCAGGAAAGCTCTTTTAATTGGTTTCGTGGAATCAGAAAATTAGCCCATCTTCGTATAGACACATACATACATATACATGTATGTCACGTTTCTATCTTACTCTTCTTATCTTATCTTTCCATTTCTCTACTTTTCAATGATAATCTCGAAGAAAGTAATACTGCTATCCGATCTTTTTCAAAAGTCACGTGATACGAAAATACAGAGTAAGGACTTTTAATCTTACAATTAATTCTAACGAATTATCGGAAATAATATCTGCCAATTATGATTTTAGTCATAAAGAAAATTGAATAAAAGTATCATCAAAAGTTTTTAGTCGACGGAACAAAGATATTTGAAAAATTAAATTACTTTTACAACAATCTTACAATTTCTAACAAAAATTATTCAACATTTTTCATATTTTTTACATTAACTCGCGTGTGAAATATGTATATTCGCTATTCGATTCTAATTATCTTCCTGGATAAACCGGAGGACTTTTATCTCTCGTATTATATTTTAACTACTTTTAAATGATTCAACGAAGAGAAAAAGAATTGTAAAAAAATGTCAAAAATTGAAAGCAGTTACTATTATAGTTTCGGATAAAATCGTTAGCGAATTTGAACAAGCGGTGAACGTTCCTTTCTCGTATTATTAACCCTATGCGGAACAAGAACACAAATTGCGAGTTTTTTTCGGTAACATATAATATAGTAAATAAAGCACAGATGTCGGGAAAAAAAATGTTTTAAATCCTTTTTACAAAAAATCATATATGTTGCAGAAAAGCAACATTTAGTTTATTGGCACAGTCGATATTTTCAGATCAATAAATTCTAACGTTGAGCATGCGAACTATTGACATGTAATAAATAATACCTATAAATTACGATTAGTAATTACGATTAGTACGATTGATTGGTATGTTGTAGAAATGCAACACGGCTCTATAAAGGGTTAATAAAAATAGATAAACTCTAATTTCAGTATACCTTCGGAAATAGAGTTGAGGAATACGAAGAATTGATATAATAATAATCGATCAAAAAAAAACTTTTATATATCACAGCTCGTTCTGTAAATTTCAACCGATCTTGATAGAAAGACCGCGGTTACTTGACTATCAATTATTTATCGTCAATGGATTTATGTTGAAAGCGGAACTCGTTCGACGTCTCTATAAATACGACGACACCATCGATGTAATCTGCTTATCGGGACTCGAGCGTATCCTCTCGAGTACGGTTGGGATATCTTTGTCCTTTCTATTCCTATTCATTCGTTCTATCCCACCCAGAAATAGAACGAAAGAGAAAGAGAGAAAGAAAGAGAGAGAGAGAATATTCTCATGTACTCACGAGCCCACATGAGATTAAACGTCCACATATCAGACGTCAATAGAAGATTCGGTCGCTTAATTTCGAAATACTATTGTTTGTCCGATAGTTCAAAAGAAAAGAAGAAATTAGAGTTGTAATGAATTTGTCAAGATAGTGAAGACGAAGTTTCATTGAGAGTTTGGAAGTAGAAAAAGGTAAATAAAGATTGGAAGACTGCGAACTGAAAGAGAAAAACATTGGAAAGATTCCAAGGTAATAGAAAAACGAAGCACAAAAATGAGACGAGGGAAAAAAAGTGAGAGAGTGAGAGAAAGAGAAAGAGAGAAGTTGAAGACTGGTTATGATGTAAAGAAGCAAAGTTGTAAAGGATGGATTACGTGAAAATAGAAAATGACGAGAATCTAGATAGATGAGAAAATAAAAAATTAATCAAACTTGGCAAAATGATAAAGAATTATTTTTTATAAGACAAGGAAAGCTAAAATAACCGCTGTGAGATGAAAAATAAAATACTAAAGCGAAAGGTAGGAGTATATCCAATTTCTGTCTAGAATTCCCTAAACAAACAAGTATCGCTTACCTTGCCAGAAGACAACCATGTGATCGAGCTCCCAGTTTGTTAGAATTTCATCTATTTACCCGAACAGCGGCTGGAAACGTGGATTTCCTCCGACGAACAACCCCCTATCGTCTACATTTCTTACGTAACTAAAAAATGGTATCACATTAGAGTCATGAGATTTACTAGCGTGATTATAAACAATGAATATTATATTTCTATATGCTTATACACAATCGAGAAACTTATTAAAACATAATCAATGAGTTTCTAATACATGCTTAACTATTAAAAAAGTTATTTCTAACAATTAAAAAATAATGAAGTTTCCTGCAATATTATTTAATGTTTAAATATCATTCGAATTTCGAATGAAATTATTGGAAAAATGATAAATCATTTTCTTGCTACGTCCAAACCGTGGAAACCAGTTTTCTAGCATTTCTCTCTTTTCGAGAATCTCTTTGACTTGTTCGGCTTGAGTTTTCCGAGTAAGCCAACGTTGAAAAAGAAAACAGAACGAGAAAAGACAAGGTTAGCCGTCGAGAAACTTGGCTTTACAGAAGAAGCGAAACATCCGATTGAATAAAAGATTTGCATGCAAACGCAATAAAGCTAGCCTCGTATATTCCTCAAATAAGAAAAAAACGTATGATATTACCTGTACGTATCTCATATTTGCAAAGGAAACAAAATTTGAAGAAAAAGAATGTACGTAGCCTCCACGCGTGATAGAAGTCAAACTCGTATTATCGTGTGAACAAATATATATAAATATATATATAATCAATTATTATAATGATAATAAAAAATATTTATAATAATAATAATAATAATAATTAAAAATAATGAAGAAATGATCAAATAATTAATGATTTATATATACAGTGAGTGTCCCTTAAAATCGTACATGTTGATATAACTGTCGAATTCGAAACATTCATATATAAAAACATATAAAATAAAAACTTATCAAAATTATTTTATATTTAAAGTACGTTAATAGGTATGTAATGTTTAAACCAATGTATATGTATTTAAATAATCTTAAATATTGTATATCATAAGTAGAGTGCATCAAAGTATGGAACATACCTGAAATAATTGTTAATTAATCGAAAAAAATGTATATTGTAGTCTAGAAGCACAGAGTATAAGATCGACGTACCTTCCTCTTCGAAATACTCCGTTAGACTGACTCGTTGTCCTCTATGAAAGTTCTTTTATTGATTGTTATTTCTATGGCTTTGTGAAGGATACATATGTGTAACAGGAATAATATTCGAAATAAATAGAATTTATTATTCTAAAAATCATATAGGTAAACAAAAATCAATAAACGAACTATAACTAACTTTCATAGAAAACAATGAGACAGTCGAATATGGGATTTTGAAGACAACAGTACGTAGATCTTATACTCTATTTTTTTAGACTACAATATACATTTTCTTCGATTAATTAACAATTATTAAAGGTATATCTAACATTCTCAAAATATGTTACATCACCGCTCATCGTTCCATAAAGAAACGCATCTCGTAATAATTATTGATCGATGTATTTCATACATACACATACACACTCCACACACTAACCAAGAACCTTCTATAATTTCGTTCAACTGTCGATTGATTGTGGATTCTATCTCATTCTCTCTCTCTCTCTCTCTCTCTCTCTCTCTCTCTCTCCCTCTCCCTACCTACCTCTATTGTACTTATCTTTTCATGTCGTTTCATAAAATTTTATCGTACCGTCATCTAAAAAATTGCACTTTGAAAAGAAAATAAACGAACAGTAAACAAAACACAATGTTACGGTAAATATTGATTCGTTGTATATTTGTTATATCAAAATATTGATTTACCGTAAAATATTGTTTTGTTTAATAACGTTCCATGGAGAGTCACATGAGTCAGAAAAGTAATACAAAAAATCTACCCATGATTGCCTTGAATTGTTCCAACGATGAATTAATTATGACATATGGTAACGTTTGCTTCCATGTTTCAGCTTGTCTCAGGATATGTCGCTCCACATATGCTCGCCTATTCTCCTTCTTCCCTTCTTTACATTCTTCAACTTGTCTTTTTCGATAAAACCTGTTTCAACTGTGGTCGACGAAAACAAAGAAAGAAGAAGAAAAGAAATAAGAAGATAAGAAAGAAGAAATGGTAAAGAAAGATGCACAACCGTAAGTTCGCATCTGTCGAGCATGTAAACATAAAAATACAAAAAAAAAGGTCTCTCCAAACTTTGGATCTTCTTGTAAATTCGTGATTTCTCTTTTTTGTTTTCTCTTTCGTAGTCTTGACGTGGCGCCTAATAGAACAAAAGAATGAGAAAGACTATAATTGAACGATTTATCCTGTCGCGTCGTCAACCATCATCGGAAAGGCACGTTCCTCTCGAACCAAGTTTTTCTCGTGATTTAATCTTCTCTTTCGTTTCGTCTCATTTATACGATTAATTTCAATTAATGTTAATGAACGTTACTATAAATACATTCGTATCCCTCTCCATGTCTTCTTTCGTTCCACGAATTATTTCTTTATCATGATTGAAGAAACGACGTCATTTAAATCGTAAGTTAAATGCTTCGTAAATTGTCAGTAAATTGAATATAGCGATTAATTATGAAACAAAGATATTAAACTTTCCATGTGTATATTACAGATATTTGATACAATTGTCGCTCAAGAGAATAAAAAAGAAACAAAATATATACAATTTTTGTACGATAGATCTTTTCCACAAATTCAATTAAAATGCAAATCAATTTTATTATCTTATCGTGAGATTTTGACGAGTAAATTCAACGTAAGAAAATAATTAAACGCTTTTTAAATTAGTCGAATGTTCTACATATACACAATATCAAGTACACAAGAGTATATATCATAAATCATAAGAATTAAACAAACACTTTCTGTTGAAAATCTGTCAAAAACGAACAAGAAAATATCGGAAAACATATAGATCTAAACGCTCATAAAACTAGATGTTATACGGCACGAATGAAAGCTTAACATCGTACGAATAAAAAATCGTCGATAAAAGTGGTGGGGTGGTCATTCTGAGGGCTGGAAATAAGTTTAGGATCAAGTTTATGATGCTGAACTGGCGGCTACGATCAGTTCAAACAAAATGGGTACTTTTCTTTCTCTCTCTCGCTCTCTCTTTTTCCTTCTTTCTATTTTTTTAGCTGTCCCTGAATTAAACCACATGTGCAACGATATCATGCAGCACGTGCGAATGAACTTAACAATTAACTATCTCGATTATTTCAAATATTGTTTCTCGTTATTCTACCGTGAATAAAGATATAATTATAAACATATGTGTAAAATATATAATATATGTTAATATTAATATATATAAACAAAAAATAACGGAGATATTTTAGGTAATAATAGTTATTGTATCGCACAATTAAATTATGTTTACCATAAATAAAAACATTGAATAATTTCTCTTTAATAAGAAACAAATATAAATTAATATAGAATCTATATAGAGAAAAGAGACAAATTTTATTAACTAAAATTAGACATGCAAAATATTCCAAGACGAGTTGGTATTACACATTTTAAAGAGATGATAATTTTATCCATGAAAATTCGCAATGATATATATTTAAAAGTTCTTTCGGCAATTTAAAAGTCTTATTGAAATACGTGAAGCTGTTCTATATATTTCCGTTTCTAAATTTGACTGTTCCAATAACGTTTTGTACGATGAAACTCGAGAGATTTATTGATCATCAGTAGGACAAAAGTTTCGAAGTTTCTCTCTCTTCCTCTCTCTCTCTCTCACTCTTTCTCTCTCTCTCTCTCTCTTAAACACGCTCGCGTTTTCCAACTGAAACTCAAACGGCCCCCCTGCCGCGAGAGACTCGTTTCGAGTCTTCCTTGTGGGATGACAAAAAGAAAATGTGTGAATAAAACGAACGATTTCGAACGACATGTCGGATTCGTTTGACTCGCTAGTATGTGTTGCAGAAAAAAAAATAAAAGAAATCATCGTGGGAGACAAAACTAACGTAACAAAATTGTATAATCTCCAAGCTATATAATATAATTATTTACTAATTATTTATTAAATCAATATTTTTCAACATTTTTGCTTAGTATTTTAGATCTAATATCAATATATAATATAAGTGATCGATATTATATTGAGAACTACAAAAACCTATCTCTTTTATAAATACTAATTATACACATAATAATTTAAATTTTTAAACTTTTTATGCGCTTTATATAAAATCATTAAATCACTTAAATTAAAACACTTGTTTATATAGACAACATGCTTTTTGTTATTTATTATTTTTTTTTAGATTTAGTTAATGTTTAATATGAAAGTTGGTGAAACAATTTATCAGAGAGAAATTTTGATGTATCCGGAAATCGAAAAATAATTATCAAGGCAAAGGAGCAAAAAAAAGATAAGTAAAAAAAATATATTACTCGCGTGTGTCGCGTGTGTAATACATAAGGATAGGACGAAGACGTGGCGAGCATCGGGAAAGAGGATGAGTGAATAAGGTATAAAAAGGAAAGAGGTGAAAAGGTATGCAGAAAAAGGCAAGAAGAAGGTCAAACACGCGAGTACCAAGCTTTCTGATATATCTGATGCGAAGTACGTATACTCCTATAAAAAAAACAGTGCACTCTTTTCCTCGCACAACTTCCACTTCATCGAGACTTTGATAAAGCGTATCACGTCGTGAATACCTTAATTACAAAACAAATACAATCTGCTATCGTAGATAATTATTGTTACGAAAAATTCTTTATACAATTTTTTTTGTTTAATCAGATATAATAATCAAAAGTATTCAAAAGGTTCGTTAAAAAAGTGTAAATTTTTATAACGAATCAAAAAAAAAAACGGTACATTCTCGTTTCTATTCACTTTTAATTAACGCTGTGATTGACATTTTATGTAAGAAAAAAAGAAACAGAAAAAATTTTTTAAATTGAATCTTAATTTCACAATTTTTTAAAGCCAAAGAAGCAACAGCGTAATTTCTTGTCATCGACAGGTGAACAACTCGTTAAGAGATCAAACGAGTAATAATGAGACAGGAAAATGAAGGCAGAAAGGAACTAGACGAAGCTTGAACTCCTTGGAAGAAAGACTTTGAATGCGAACGAATTAATTTGTAGGGAAGTACGAGTAATAATTAGGCCACCAAGTTTGACTTCGAACGGAAAATAGAGGAGGGTTTCCTTCTCAACGACTTTAAACATGCGGAAGCCAAAAAGCGAGAGCTGTCGGTAACAGCCACGGGCTGTATACTCGGTTCAAGGGTTGGATAGAAAGAGATAGAAAGAAAAGACTGTGAGGGTGCCCACAGTCGAGCCTGTTTTGTTTACGAGTCTTTTGTCTCGCTCGAGGAGTAACGATCATTCGTTATGTGGCACTCGTCACGCGAAAAGCTTTTTCGCTCGGCTAGGTGAAAAACTTCTCTCTTTTTATATATTTTTTTCCTCAGCCACTCGGCATCCATCCTAAAGCCCCACTTCTTCTTCGAATTCTCCCTATGTCTCTTTTCTCTTTCTATCATCTTTGTACATTTCTCTCTTTTTATCTACTTCACCTCTTACTCTCGCCTACTTTTAGATATTCGTACTCAAGAGTGCAATTTCTCTACGTACTTTCGCGTATGTGTAGCTATAAACAGAAACGAACAAGCGGTATGAAACAAAGTTACCCGGAAATACTCGAAAGTGTCACGCTTTTTAAGTGTCGAAGCCCAACCTTAAAGTTAGACACCCTGAAAAGGTTGTCTCTCTTTCTCTCTGTCTCTCTCTCTTTTTTTCCCTTTTTCTCTTTCTTATACTCTGCACCCTCTATCTTGTCTTCTTTTCTTATTTTCTTCTCTCTATCTTCCCACTTTACCCACCTGATTACCCCTCGTTTGTCTTTGCGAGCTTTTTTCGGTTTAGAATTTTCACTGGAGCAGCTTGATTATACCTCTGATACCAATTCTCGTTACTACGTTCTAACTTTCCTTTCATACTATTATTCACTTTAAATTATTCTTTTTTTTTTTTTCGTTAGAACGCATCGCATTAACGTTTCTTTAATTAGGGAAATGATAAGCGTTTCAGATTTTTTTGCAACTCTTAACAACGAACGTTGAAAGGATCGATTGATTCGTTTCGTTA